GCTCGGAACGAATAAACTACAACAATCAACTCTCGAACGTGACTTGGGTGTCCTGGTTCAAGAAGACTTGGGTTGCTCCAGGCAATCCGAAAAGGCCTCGATGACCGGAACCCAACACGTCGGGTTGTTGAGGCGGGCGTTTGGACAAATAAACAGCTCCATATTTCGACAAATGCTCAGTGCGTATTTTCGCCCCGATGTCGAATACGCAATTCAAGCCTGGCATCCATGGCTGAAACACGACCTTAACGCACTGGAGCGTCCACAACGTCGGGCATCTAAAAACGTAATTGGAATGAGCAATCTTTCCTACCAGCAGAGGCTGCAACGACTGGGATTGTTTAGTGGAAGCTATCGCAGACTACGAGGCAACCTGATTATGGCATACTTGATTCTGCGAGACCCACATGATGTGTGCCGCCCTTTACTGCAACTCAGCAGCAACACAAACCTGAGGGGCCACTCATTAAAACTCGCAGAACAATACAGTCGTCTGGAGTGCTGCAGAAATTTCTTTTCCATCCGTGTCTGTAACCCGTGAAATGCTCTCCCAGAATCGATCGTCTCTGCACCGACACTAACAATATTTAAAAAACGGTTGGACGATGCACCCATCCACTTACACTTTGTTACTTAACACTACGTCTCCATCCTACACCTGGTGTTTACCATGGAAATATTTGTTGTTGACTGTGGGTGCTGTGAACCTAAGAGGATCGCAGGACTGCAGCGAAGCAAACGATAAGTCCTTATTTTCGTATTTAAAGTATTAACTATTTTACTATCCTTATCACCATTATTTTTATCTTGATATCCCTTGCAACTATCCAACGGGACTTGTAAAGCAACGCTTCTTCACCCGTATAAATTCATTGTTCATTGTTCATTGTACGGATGGCAGGCGCACGGTCACTAGTTTTCAGCACTTCATTGAAACATGCAATCTAAGTACAATATTTGCCTCCACACCCCTGTAGTTGTAGACAACTTGGTATTAGCGACACCTGACGGGACAGGGAAACACATGAGCACATCTAGATCCAGGATGCTCCATGCTACCATGCAACCTGACTGCAATTCAAGAACAAAAGACCCACACAAAAAACGATTAGCTGCCGACCGACAAATGCTCAGCCTGAAAGCTAACACGAATTTATTGTTCATCTACCCACTTCTAACATCAAAAACACTATCCAGCTTGTATACTAACTCCCCAGGTCTTCTTAGTAAGTTGGCCGGACTTAGAGAACTGGCGTCACAACGGCGAGGTCTAATTACGAGTACGGCAACCTGGTCAAGCCTTGGGATAACAGTTTCTGAAGTCAGTTTACCTGGTATGTCACTGCTTCGGAATGACAGAGCTGGAAGGGCTGGTGACGTAATGCTGTATTACAAGGCTAACCTTCGATGTTAAGTTATTCACCACCCAGAGATCCGTGCTCCAGATTCGCTTTGGTGCCGGCTGTGGTTGCGAAACAAAGACACATGCCTTATAACTGTGATTTATCGTCCACCAAACTTTAAGTGTGAAATGGACTCCAAACTAAAGCACGTTCTTCAGGTTGCTTTGAGCAAGACATACACTCACACACTCACCGCTGACGACTTTAATGTGCACAATTTGGAGATGGAGGCTACCGATAACATGCAGTTCAAAGCATGTTTACACGAGGTAATTTCTAGCTACCCTCCATGCAATCACGTGACCACTCCCAATAGATTTCGAACTGCTAACAAGCCGTGGATACTTGATCTTGTGCTCACCAACGAAGTACTCATGGTGGACGGAATACTTACAAGCACACCACTGGGTCGCAGTGACCATGTGACTCTACGGTTGCACTGGGTATGTTGTACGGAAACTCCTGAGGAAAAAGATGATAAAGTGTATACGGTCACGCACTACAACGTGCTATCCGCGCTCGTTAAGGTGGTATTTTGGATCTTCTTAAAGCGCCCAAAAATCGTCTGGAAAGTTTCGCAAAGACATTCACCCCACCGGTAACGCACGCGTCTGAGCAGAAATCCTTCCATCGTCAAATAATAAGAAGTCATTTCTGAGGAGCAGAACACGCAAATGCATGTCCTTGAGGGACTTAGCATGGACAACTCACAAGGACTCCCCGAATTCCGAAACCTGGACTGCCTATGTGGCACAGCGTAACTTCTGTATGATCCTGATACGCGAGGACAAGGTAACGCATCAGCTGGAGTTAATGAGGAGATTCTGCATGAACCGCAAACTCTTATACAGGCATGTTAATGGCCTTCGTAAGGTGCAATGCGGAATTCCAGCACTGGTCACGGCTGATGGATGCACACGATCAGGAACGGAAGCATGTGATCAGTTAAGGTTCCAGTATCCACGTACATTCCAGAGAGTAACGGGTCCAACGGTTATCTGTGTGTTATCTATGTCACACTATCAGCCTTATCCAATAGTACTTTACGGCAGAGTGTGTCAAAGAAACTGTTGTCCATGCGTATTCACAGCTTTCGTGGTGTCGATAACATTCAACCGAAGACTTTACAGGCAGCAATCAGTGATCTGGCGGAACCTCTGGCTATATTCTATCGGTGCTGTATGGAGGAGAACCATATTCCAACAATATGGAAGGGAGGTGTCATCACTCCTATTCATAAGGAAGGTAGTCGTACTGACCCATCCAATTACCGTCCGATAACGCTGCTCTCTGCGCTTTTCAAGGTTATGGAGTCTGTCATCGCTGATGCTTTCATGCAGTACCTGGAAAATCACAAAATGATAGCATCAGATCCACCTGGCTTCCGACAAAACCGCTCATGCACTACGAGCCTGTTAATTGCACGCAACAGCTGGACTGAAGCAGTTGATGATGGAGCAAGAGTTGATGTCATTTACTGGATTGCTCAAATGCCTTTGATCGTTTAGACCACCAAATTCTCCTCCATATACTTTAGCTCAATGACGTTGGTGACCCACTGCTGTGTTGGATAGGATACTTCCTGCACCAACATCGGTTGGAAGCGAGAGTACGAAATCCCTGTCCGACCCAATTGAGGTGCTCGGGCGCGTCTATTTTTGACTTTCATAAACAATCCGGCGAGGGCAATGACTTCCGTTTTCCTATTCTTCGCGGGTGATATCAACTTATGGTGAGCGCTCAAAGAACCGAATGACCACGAAAACCTCCAGCGTGACCTCAACACGATTTCAACCTGGTCAGTTCTGAATACGCTGCCGTTCACTGTGGGAAAACGTCACGCTGTTCATTTGCGTCATAGACATAACTACGTGTATAGGCTTGGGTCATATGTATTACAAACAACTTCCCAAGAACGCGAACTTGGTGTGCTCCTTCAACGTGACTTTAACTGTTTAAAGCAGCCAGACGCAGCTGCGAATAGAGCCAAGCAGCACATCGGCTTGCTGCGGAAATCATTCGGAAGATTCGACCCATCTATCTTCCCCATAATGCACACTTCTTACGTGCGGCCTCACTTTGAAAATGCCATCCAAGCCTGGCAACCTTGGTTGAAGCGCTACTTAGAAGTACTAGAGAAACCATAACGCAGGGCCACAAAGAAAGTCAAGGGCCTACGAAATCTGTCCTACCATCAATGGCTGAAGTTACTGTGAATTTTCAGTGGCCGCTACCGAAGGCTGCGGGACGATATCGGACGCAAGCTCCGGTCCGCCCTAACATGTAGCTACACGACAGCCAAGTTGCGACTCAGGCGTACCACGCGAGGACGTGTTCTTCATAACCGTCAGAGCATCTTGTCGGGTAGTTCGGCCCTCTCACGTAATTTATCTGTTCACCTGCGGTTGCCGTGACATTTACATAGGCAGAATAAACCGTCAGTTAGCTCAGAGGGTAGCTGAACCTTTGCCAAAGTGGTTGGGGCAAGTGATTACGCAACCAAATGGGACGGATCTGAGAATTAATCGGAGCCCGCCATCGTCTATTATCAACCACCTCGTGGCAACCCGTCTTCACATGAACCCCGAGACAGCGTTCAAAGTTTCATCACGTAACAAAACCCGATAATGCTGGTAATTATTGAGGCGTTGTTAATTAAGGCCTATCAACTTGTGCTATGTGCACAGAAACGCTTGAGGCCATCAATTCGGCTGCGATGGTCTTGACTGTGACATTTTGATTGGTGTTGCTTATTTTTTCTATGTATATAATTCCTTGTTTCTGCTCGTATTGTGTTTGCGACTGAAGAGAACAATCGAAATGTGGACATATCGCAACCTCTGTCTTCTCCCTGTTTTAACGAAATCAAATTAGTCTACCAAATTTTAAGTGACCCTGCTCACGTATGCCGTCAGTTGATGAAACTCAGCCATAACACTAACCTCAGAGCTAACCCTCTGAAATAGTGTGCACAGTTTAGCCGCCTGGAATGTCGGCGGAAATATTTTTCTCATCGGGTTTGCCAACCCTGGAACTCTCTCCCAAACTTCTTTGTTTCCTTCCTCACTTTGGATATTTTCAAACAACCATTGGATTTTGCCCTTGGCCCCCACCACTTCTTTGCCCGAACTGTGCAACATTGGAATATATTAATTATCCCTCCAAACCGGATTAACATATCACATAAACCTGAGAAGGCGGTACAAAAGTGAGTATTCTCGTTGTAACTTCTTAGTTGTCTATTAGACTGCAACGACTATAACTGTCCCCATTTTGTCTCGTGGTTCGCATTCAATTCCCACTTACACTACTATTATTCAGCAGCGTATCTGCTAGATAAACACTCAAACAGACAACTCACCTATATTTTGATAATTGTAGTTTTACCCCCACCATCCTGCGGGAGTTGTCAAGCAACTGCTTTTTTACCCGACGTAAATCATTACTCATTGTTCATTGTTTCTAGATATAACAGTCTATGTGGGCGAGACACGCGGGATACATGTTAGTATAGTTGGTGGCATCGATGAAAAATAGCCGTGTCTAAGAGTTATATGGCAGTATGTGTCCGAAACGAAGCTGGAATTGTGGACTAACCGGTTAATCAGCGCGACCACCATATCCACAGTGACTTGATACAGATCTTGTGCAAACCCACGAAGTCTATCCAAGGGGGTTAGGTGCAACTCGCCTGTGGATTCAAACACTGCGACGTGTAAACACTCAATGGAACATCCGAGAAGTCGAGCCGCTGTCCGTGCTGAGCTCAAATTTCTGAAGCCGGACCTCCCTTCATTGAGGGTTTCGGCACGGTCCGGACTAGATACGCCAGGTGAACTGTGAGCACTAACACATCCAGCACAACCCAGATGATAGATGATGGCCAACATCCTTGCAATGCCTCCGGTCAGCCATTCGTCCTGATTTCCGAATTCGAGCAACTCCGCGCACTTACAGAGTTGCCTCCAGTGGCATGCGGCAGCCTCTCTGTCTTCTGTCTGAAAATAGGAGATCGGGAAAGGTATATCGCATTGAAGCCGTTTCTCTACAGGCAAAATCTGGACACCCCATTTTAGCTGATACTTTATTACTGCCAGAGGTCAAGATGATGGACGGATCGGTGCACTTGAAAAGTTTGGCACGTTTGACGCTATGTTGAACAACGTTATAGCACAACTGGCTACTCGGCCATACCACACGAAGTCCTCCAAGATCTCTAGAGACCGCAACGAGTCTTTGCCTCGCAATTTTAAAGGCCGAGACCGAGATTCGTAGGATTACTAGACAACCGCGTTACCTTTCTGGCTTGATTACGTTTGGCGACTAGGAGATACAGCAAACGTTTTAATTCTTTTGTTGACTCCCATTGACATCTAGGAAACGACTGGTCAGTGGAAAGTTGACCCATTGTTTAAACTGGATGATGTAATTTAGGAATTTAGACCACTTTCCCCGTAAGTTACGAACTTTTGTGTTTGGATTATACCGATATGCAGATTAAGTTATCTGAATTCATTGGAGATCCAATGCCCTTTTACCGCTTTGATACGATACTATCAGCTGGTGGCGGAAAACGATTTGCATCTGAGGATGCTGGCTGGCTCAAATTTTTGCTTGTGTGCTTCCAAAATGTGGGGGAACTTTTGCTAAATTACTTATCGCAATGGAATCGAAGTAGAGCGTCGGTTCGTGTATCTTAATGCAACCTTGTACTTAATAAGTGTTATGTATATTTTTGCTACCAATGACTAAGACACAAGTAAGGTATGGATGGAATGTCCATCCAGCATAATTTTGGAAAGCCATCGGGTTCCCTTGTCCCAGTGACCGCATTCTCATGAGAAAGCTGTGAGCCAACAAGAAGGATCCACTGCTGGATCCAAGATTTATGTCCTAAACAGCAAAATTTCACACATCTGTGTATCAGTAGTAATGAATGTCAACCCCGGCCCGTCTGGATCGGGTGCAGAACTGGTCAATTACTCGACGGCAATCAATTTTGATGGTAGAGGAATTTGAGTGTCTAGCCAGTGCAGTTTACGTAGCTTCACCTCCGGTTCGCCTCCACATGCCGTTCACATCACCGATTCGTTGCTTATGTGTTTTAATTGTCGGTCCCAGACACAGAGCAGAACCATATACTAACCACATTAGGCGGTGAATGTCATTTCTAACAAAAACTGACTGTACCCGGTATGACAAAACAGTATCCGATCTAAATTTTTAGAAGTACTTCTCCTTGGGAACTCACACGTTTCAATCTAGTCAAAAATAGGTTCTTCTCATCCAAGTTCGTCATGAGTAATTCTTCCCTGCAAAAGGAACAAGGTTGTGCTGTTAGATCATCTTCAACTTAATGAGACACTGGTCGAGGCGGCAGGAATATTCGTTTACTCAAATAGAAACATTTGATAATTTGAGAAGCACGGAAAGAAGACGAAGGCTTGTAGATGCATGCATTTCGTATTGTCTCCTCAGTACGGATAATGTTTGAAATGTTTTTGGGATGACCTTGTCAGCCTGTGCGTACTAATCTTGCAATTCTGTGCTCTGTGTTCAATTGCACTTATCCCCTCACATTCTTGTGCCACCTCTTCGGAAGTAAGCTCAATCGATTCGGATAACTGAGCTCTATCCAACGGGGTATATGTTTTTGAAGTAAGTCCAACGACACGCTGATACACCACAAACAAAACCTTCGGAAGTCTGTTCACCAAGGCCAAGTTGAGTAACTTTGCTTATTTGGGTTTCATCAGTACCTTAGGGATACCATTCGACAGAGCTTCTTCAAGGCTGCCAGACAATATATAACTTAGTAATGTGCACCACTGTGTACCATAGCTACAACCTACTTTGTCATCTCACGTTACTACCATAGTTTTACCTGCATTTCACTGCACAAAACCTGTGTGATTTTGGCTACCCGTGCGCCTAGTGGCGCACCACTACTAAACCCGCTGACTGGAGCAGAAAATAAAGACAGCCCAGACGGCGTGAGCAGCGCAAGCTAAAACTGCATACCGATCATAGATCCATGGGCCGGAGTAGTTTGTCGGCCGGCAATCCGGTGAGCAACAAACCCCAGGTCAATCGTAGCTCAGACAAACGTGGAACAGCGATCCCCTCGAAATGCACTTGTTCGTTCTGTGCCAATTGCTAAGACGCAACAAAGGTGAACATTACACGTAACGGAGCTAACAGCGTATGGACAGATAGGTTGTGGTTCTGTGACTTATGTTCAGATAGTCTGATAATTAAGATTGTCCAGACGCTTAGGATAAGGTGTGAGATGTTGTTTCTTATTTCGGAAGAGTAAAAAACGAACCGATCGCGATATTGGGAGGGAAAATCTCAGAACTCGAGTTGCAGATGAATGTATTAGGTAGCCCGATTCCCCGATCTGTTACAAGGCAAAGGCTCTCTAGCAGCGATGCTACACCGTTCAGCGAAAGACAAACGCCATTAGTGAAAAACAGCAGTGAAAACAGACAGGTTGAACGGTCGCCCAAATCTCACGGAATGCTCCAAAGCATGCAGAGTTACGCACAAATTGCACGATTACCTCCGTCAATAGGTGGGTAACAACAATTGACTTCTACAGATAGCGCAAATAACGGTGTTGCACGTAAACAGTCTTGCTGTAGCCTTGGCCTTTCGTCCACGGAAAACAAGCCAGCCACTCCTACTCGATAAACCTACGCTCACAAGGAACTGCAGACCAAACAATTACTGCGCAACCAAAACGCGATGACAGTGATATGTTCAAACGTCCCAGAACCCACTAGCAAATTGCTAAAACGTAGACAAGATGAGAAGCAAAACCGCTGGGCTTAAATAACCTGCGCGCTCTGACTGGAAGTTCTCCCAACTAGTCTTACACGCCTTTCACGAAATTCATCATCTCCACACGTAGGGGAACCTCGGTTACTGCGAGTAACGTTTGGCGACACACGCGATCTGGAAGATGCTCTCCTAGCAAGCCACCTTCTAATGAACTCTTCTGTCAGTGCGCGCATTTTTCCTGACAAGCCATAGGCAGATGCACAGAAGCGGAAATCCAACCCTAGTTCGTCACCTCAAAATGTGATGAAGAAAGTGGTACGGTTTAATGGTGTGCCAGAATTGAGGCATGACGATAGCAGTGAACGACAGAAGCACGACATCGAAGAATGGAGGTATATTGCAGAGCTCTACGACATGCAGAATGTCGTGGCTTTTGATGTCACCCGTCTAATTTCTTCCACAATCCACTAAGGCAGTGGGCCACGGATTTTATAAGGTACCTTGACTGCGCCCGAAATGGTATCAGTGGCGATCTAAGCATTACATGACAACAGGAAACTTGGGTCACCAGAAGAACGGTTAAGACCTTTCCTTCAATTGGTACTGACCTCAGATACAGATGAGCCAGCCTCATTTGAACCTAGCTCAAATCAGCCAACCTTGCAAACAACCGTTTCAATAAACTTCAGCAGACGGTCACTGTTTGTGCCGGTTACTCACAGCGAACCGAGCCCCTGATGCGTCAACAAATACAATGCTGCTACGCCAACACTCAGCAGTTGTATTCTAAGCTCTCGGAACTGCGCCATCGGCATGAAATAACAACTTAGAACCTCATAGCAGTTACTGTAACTTGGGTTTCAAACGACATGCTTAATCCAGAGATTGCACTCAGTGAGATGTCAGTCATTCGAAATGATCGTCTATTTTGCAGTGGTGGTGTTGTTCTCTATTATCAAGGTTGTTTAAAATGTGAGGCCCTTACCGAAAATTCCCTTATTATTCCCGACGCACTATTTTGCCGACTGCATCTAGCAGGTCGAGATGTCGATTCACAGAAGATGCGTGATGCTTGGCTCTTAGCAGTTATCTATAGACCTCCGAACTCATCAGCAGACAGCGATAACATTCTTTTAAACGCCCTGCACTATGCTGTTTCACAAAGTACGCTCACTATCTTATAGTGGGTGACTTTAATGTTCATTCAATAGCATCAATGTCCCATAATAGGCCATCATTTAAATCGAAACTCCTCGAATTAATGGATAAGGCAGTTTTGTATAACCATGTGCATCGACCAACCAGACAGCGAGATTCAAACAAAGCGTCAATCCTGCACTTACTCCTGACTAATGAAGAGTTGATGGTTGAGTCAGTAGCATACGATCCACCACTGGGCCGTAGCGACCATTCAGTCCTAACATTTGGTTATGTGTGTTATGCCAGTATTGTTGATAAAGAACGAGGGAGTCAACGAATCATTACGGACTATTTTAAGATGCACAACTTAGCAGCAATCGTTGACTGGGACCTACAACTGCACAGCTCAGAGAATGAACCATGGAATGAATTGAATGATAAAATTAACTGGGTCATACAATCGGCATTGAAGGTTTTACCATTACGAGCGTCGCGCCGGCCCAACACGTGGATTTGGAGCAGAACACGTAAACGGATCAACAGAAGAGATGAGATCTGGAGGCAACACTTAGTATGCCTATGTGATGCCACATGGCAGAATTACAAAATCATTGGAAACTACTGCAAGTCGCTCATTAGAGTCGATAAGTACGAATGGCAGGAGGTCAGGCTGCTGAAATTTACGAGTAACACCAATCTCCTATACGGATTTGTGAATGACCAAAGAAACCTTAAGCCCGGAATACCACCACTTAAGACGGCCAGTGGCCTAACAAATACTGCTGTGGCTTCCGCGAACGCTCTACTCCTGCTGTTTGGCTCTGTAGCTACAAATGCCATTGAACCTTCGCCCTATCAACTCTCAATAAATGTCACTGGCTTATTCAGGTTCACCTTTACCCCAGCAGCTGTTGCAAGCAAATTACAGTCTCTCCGGGAGTGCAGTGCCCCTAGAATCGACACGATCTGACCAAAAGTACTGAAAACCCTTTTCCCACCATAGCAGCATCACTTGCAGCCATTTTCCAGGGTCTGCTTAACTTCCATGCACTCTCTTCTGAGTGAAAAAATGGAATTAGCACTTCAATATACAAAGAAGGCAAGCTGTCTGATCCTGTCAACTACGGATCTACTACTCGCCTTCCTGTTTTATCAAAAGTGATAGAATCGGTAATCGCAGATGAACTGACGCTATACTTTAAAAGTCAACAAATAATTTCTAATGTCCAACATGGTTTAGACGCAGACGATTTTGTCTCACCAGTTTGATTCATGGACTAGGGCGGCTAATGAAGGAGTCCCATATATGTGATTTACTTGGATTTTCTGAAGCGTTCGATAGGGTCAGTCACTTCTTTCTCCTCCAAAAGCTTGCTGCCTACGGTATCAACGGTTCCATGATCACCTGGTTGGAAGACTACTTACACGACAGAGCAATCAAGGTAAGAGTAGCCGACACTCACTCTGAAAGCCTGTGCGTCTCCAGTGGTGTACCGCAAGGATCCGTCCTCGGCCCGCTACTGTTTTTAGTCTACATTAATGACCTTCCAGCAGACATTCTATCCCCGATGCAAATATTTGCAGACGATGCTAAAATATGGAGAGCAATTCGCTCAGCATCCGACCGTGTCTATCTTCAGGATGATCTGGCTCGGATTAACGAATGGGCAGAAGCGAACCAGCTCCCACTGAACCCTGCAAAGTGCCACCTGCTGACGGTGTGCAGCAGCTTCGTCAACACATATCTTTTGGGGCAACACGTCCTGCAACACGTGACTAGTGAACGCGACTTAGGTGTCATCGTGCAAGAGTCTTGGCATTTCGCTCCAGTGTTCGGAAGCACCAAGTGTGGCGAACTTGAACTTGAGGCTTGCGACGCGAGCTCTCGGCACCTTTTAGCGACGGCTAGTATCATTGCTGATTAACTTGTATATTCGTCTTCACGTTGAATATGCAATTCAAGCCTGGTGTCCATGGTTAAAACGAGATATTCGTCTATTTGAATAACCCCAAAGAAGAACCACAAAGACTACGCGTGGACTATTCGGTCTAAGTTACGAACTACGTCTTCGTGTACTCGGTGCGTTCTCCACAGAATACCGACGGCTTCGCGGAGATCCTGCTCCCACATACCGGATACTAACTGAAACCGAGTATCCATGTACATCTCTGTTGACCCTAGCCCCTTACAAACAGAGCCGAAGCAACCACATGAAACTAAGGACGCGACACTCCCGTTTGAAGTGTAGAAAGTATTTTTACTCACTTAGACTCTGTTCTCAATGGAATGTATTACCAAGATATGTGGTAAACACGCCAGACATGACGACATTAGATTTAGACTTTCATCTTAGTGATAAAAGCTGCACAATAGTTTGATAAAATGCAA